ACACACACACAAACACACACGAAGTCTAATTTGTATTTTAAGTGCAAAAGTGAACATCATGTAGAAGTAAATGTGTAATAAAGAAAAATGTATGAAATGTAAAATACTTTTATCCTGATAATAAGGACCACAGTTGGCCCAAATAGGTGCGATTTTGGGCCGTTTGGAATTAGTCACTCAGATGTAATGTTAAATGTTTTAATTAACCAAGATCTTTCTGCATTCAAAGGTTAATGTATTCATTTGTGTATGGAATGATGTTTCTAAATGAAATGTAAAAAACATTGGAAATTAATAAATTTTAATGATGATCAATTTTGTCTGGCTAATTTTTAAACAATGTTTCCTCAAAATAAATGGTTGGGCCAGGTGCTGGTAGCTTACGCTTGTAATCCTAGCTACTCAGGAGGCTGAGATCTGAGGATTGCAGGTGAAGTAAGCTTAGACAGAAAAGTCTGTGAGAATCTTATCTTCAAAAAATCCAGAAGTAGAGCTGTGGCTCAAGTGGTAGAGTACCAGCTTTGAGTGAAAAAGCTCAGAGATAGCACCCAGGCCCTGAGTTCAAGTAATATTTATATATTAATTATTATTATTACTAATATTACTAATGCTAATTAGTAATATTTATGATGATTATAGAAATGTCTTAACAGAGGATGTTACTGTTTCTGTCATAGCTATTAAATTTTTTAGCACCAACGTTTTAAAAATAATACTAACATAATAATGGCTTTGGGTTGATCTCTGGTACCACTAAACAAGCAAACATGTAAATACAATTTAGGGGAAACATTTTGCATTTGTTTGCACATCTCAGTCTATTTTTTTAATTTTACATGTCCTAGGGCTCAAACTCTAGGCCTGGGCACTGTCCTGAGTTTCTTTTGCTCAAGGTGAGCGCTCTACCAGTTGAGCCACAGCCCCACTTCTAGTTGTTTTTTTTTTTTTTGAGTAGTTTATTGGAGAGAAAAATCTCATCGAGTTTCCTGCCCTACCTGGCTTCTAACTGTGATCCTTAAATCTCAGGCTCCTGAGTAGCTAGGATTAAAGGCATGAGCCACTGGTGCCCAGCCCAGTCTATTCTTTTTTTTTTTTTTTGCCAGTCCTGGGGCTTGAATTGAGGGCCTGGGCACTGTCCCTGAGCTTCTTTTTTTTGCTCAAGGCTAGCGCTCTACCACTTGAGCCACAGTGCCACTTCGGCCTCTTCTGTTTATGTGGTATTGAGGAATCGAACCTAGGGCCTCATGCATGCGAGGCAAGCACGCTACCACTGAGCTACCTTCCCAGCCCTAAAGAGTGATTTTGATTCTCAGCCCCATAGCAATTTGGTTGGAATGTGTTATTATTAGATGCTCTTCTAGGGACTGGCAAGGTGGCTCAAGGGATAAAGTATCTGCTTAGTAAGACTAAAGCTCTCCAGTTCAAATCCCAGGACTTCCAAGAAAAACCAAAACCAAAATAATAAGAAGATGCATCTCTGGAGGAGAGTTTGAAAATATGGGAAAGGATGGAATGAATTGCAGTGGATGATGGTCTAGACATTGGAGTTCTGCAAGAGGTGGCATTTCATAAGCAGAAAGGAAGTGACAGAAAAAGGGATACCAGGCCCCAGTGTTTGCTTGGATCCATTCCATAAATGTGTGTGAACCTGGCCATGATCATTGTCTTCTCTGATTCCCTTCTCCCTCTCCATTCTACCCAACTCCACCCTCAGAAACAAATCCTTACCTTTCACTTTCAAGTTGCTGTCTATAGCTAAGATTTTTCACTGCTCTCCTATGAATTACAAGTTAAAATATGTCTATGTCTAGCAAGAACATGGAGTCCTACAGGAAGCCTTTGATAAGGAGAGGGTTCCCCTCACACACATTATTTTCCTTATGACAATTCAGTGAGACGCGTGGTTTAGGAGTCATTCTGGCTGCAGGATCAAAGCGAACACTGATTAGAGCAGAAATATAGTGCAGAAAATTGGCCCGCCATTTTGTCAGTCATTTCCATTTTAACCAAACCCTGAAAACAAATACAAACCCTACTCTGTCCTCATTTAAGCTTCAAGGTGGAATATTAACTATCTTTTTTTTTTTTTTAATGCTGATCCTGGGGATTGAACTCAGGGCCTTGATACTGTCCCTGAACTTTTTTGTTCAAGGCTAACACTCTACCATTGAGCCACAGCTACACTTCTGGCATTTATTATATTTATCATATATATATGTTACATACATATATATATTATATATCTGTTAATTGGGGATAAGAATCTAATGGACTTTCTGCCCAGACTGGCTTTGAACTGTGATCCTCAGATCTCAGCCTCTTGAGTAGCTAGGATTATAGGCATGAGCCAGCATATTAACTGTCTTCTAAGAGTATTTTCCACTTGCAATGATTTTCTTAAAAACCCAAATCAGGGGCTGGGAAGGTGGCTCAGTGGATAAGTGCTTGCCTTGCATGCCTGAGGCCCTGGGTTCAATTCCTCAGCACCACATAAGCAAAAAGAAAAAAGCCAGAAGTGGCGCTGTGGCTCAAGTGGTAGAGCGCTAGCCTTGAGCTGAAGAGCTGAGGGACAGCTCCCAGGCCCAGAGTTCAGGCCCCATGACCGGACCCAAAAACAAAACAAAACAAAACAAAAAAACCCAAATCATCTGTGCCCTTCACTGCTGGAATGAAGGAGTACATAAAATTTCAGGGTGTTTGTTTAACCTAGGGTGCTCCCTGCTCTGCGGGAAAGAAGTAGATGCCAAGAGAGGCTTAACAATTAGGCAACTCCCTAGACTGGGTGAGGCTGGAATGTACCTCAAGCTGGTACTTCAGCCCTCTTTCTGGTTGCATTCCTTCCTCTTCTTCTCCCTACCCCTCTCCCTCTCCTCCCTTCCTCTCTCTTTCTCTCTCTCTCTCTGTCTCTCTTTTGACCCAGACAAGCACTCAAACTTAGTACCTGATACTTTTGCTTACTGGCTAGTGCTGTGCCAACTGAGCCACACCTCCGACCCCATGCCATTGTACTACTTGAGCTACGCTTGCAACATGGGTTTTTGCTGCTATTTATTTATTTGTTTATTTATTTTTGCCAGTCCTGGGGGCCTGAAATCTGGGTCTGGGCGCTGTCCCTCAGCTCTTCAGCTCAAGGCTAGAGCTCTCCACTTGAGCCACAGCACCACTTCCAGCTTTTTCTGCTTATGTGGTGCTGAGGAATCGAACTCAGGGCTTCATGCATGCAAGGCAAGCACTCTACCACTGAGCTACCTTCCCAGCCCCTGTTTTTTTTTTTTTTTCATCCAGATCAAGTTTCATAAATTTTTTCTGCTCCAGCTGGCCTCAAACTTCCATTCACCAGACTTCAGCTGCCTGAGGAGCTTGATAGTACCAATGGTATGAGCCACCAGGGCCTGTCTTACTTCACATTTTAAAGAAATTAGCATCAATTAGTTGTACAAAGGGGATTCATTTTGATATTTCATATGTGCATGCAATGTACCTTGATCAGATTCACCCCTTCATCACTCTCCCTCAGCTTCCCTCCACTGATTTTTTTTTTTTTAATCGGTCGTGGGGCTTGAACTCTGGGCTTGGGCACTAACCCTGCACTCTTCAGCTCAAGGCGAGCGTTCTACCACTTGATCCACAGCACCACTTCCTGTTTTCTGGTGATTAATTGGAGATAAGAGTCTTACAGACTTTTCTGCCCAGGCTGGCTTTGAACTGTGATTCTCAGATCTCAGCCTACTGAATAGCTAGGATTACAGGCATGAGCCACTGGCGCCCGGCTTCCACTGTGTTTTTGAAAGGTGTGTCAAAACCCAACGTTAGTTACTCGTCTTCCCCTGCTACCTCAGTTTCTTCTTTTTAGCATCTGCTGTTGTCTTTTACTCCCACCCATATCAGTCCAACTCTCTCTCCTAGTGCAGAAATCGAGGCTGAATTGGGAAGATGGGATGGATTGTTCCCTGGTCAGGAAGGCAGAGACAAGACCTGTAACACCATCCCTGCCTGCAAGTGTGTGTGGAATCCATTTGGCTCACCATGTCTTACAGGTGATGGAAGCCTGATTGATGAGCTTTAACTTCTGTTTGTTTTTTTATATCTCTAGAGACAAAGAGCTACTGTCTAAAGAGTCTAAGGAAATCATCAGCTGAGCCCAATAGTTCATGCCTGTATACTCAGGAGGCTGACAACTGAGGCTCATAATTCAAGGCCAGCCCAGGCAGAAAAGTCCATGAGACTCTTCTCTCAGAAAAAGTCCAGAAGTGGAGGTGGGGGCTCAAGTGGTAGAGCACTAGCCTTGAGCAAAAAGCTCAGGGATAGCACTCAGACCCTGTTAAAAAAAATAAACAAAAAGCATGAGTCTTAAGAGCTGATATACTGTCCTCCTATTAGTAACCAATGGTATAAGATACAAACCCTGGTCGTTGTTTTTTTAAACAAAGGCCCAAGTAAAAATAGAAATCTATCACTGAATAAATCTATCACACGGAGTGTATGTATGTGTTTTTTATATATATATATATAGTATACATGTGTATTATATAATTTATGTGTGTATTTTTAATTAGGGGAAACACTTTGCATTTAGTGCATCTCAGAAGTCTGACCTTTGATAGTGACAACTGTTATCAACCTTGGCGTGTACAGAAGAATGATTCTATTTCTCAGCCCTATGGCATACACCTCTGGGGACTGGGGATGTGTCTGGCTTAAGTGGTAGAGCTGTGTGTATGCATGTAAAGACATACCACAACAAGACCTTCCTGTTCTATTCCTGTGTGCTAATTAAAACAAAAAAGAAAGAAAGAAGGAAAGAAAGAAAGAAAGCATTGTCTTCTAAGGCTTGGCATCGTCCGTGGCTTCCAAAAGTCTTGTCACTATGGTAGTAATATCAGGACCTGGTCTGCAAGGAACCTCCTCCGCCCTCCTTTCGCTGGGACTACAACTCCCGGGATGCCTCGCGCGCGCGCCGGGAGCGCGCAGGCGCGTGTCGGCGGAGGCGCAGGGCGGAGAACTAGCCTCACGGACGGCGTAGACGAGCCGAGCCGGGGCCGCTGCTGGCGAGTGGGTCGGGGAAACTCCCTCAAGAGGCCGGCTCTGCGGTCCGGCGGGGGCTGCTGGGAACCGAGTTGCGGCGCGTGGGGCCCGCAGTTCCCGCGGGTCAGTGAAGGAAGTCGGTGGCGGCCCCGGGAGGGGGGGCGGGCGTCAGTCAGGTAAGTTCAGCCCCGCGGTGCTTTCCAGGAAGTGTGGCGGCGGGCGCGGCGGGCGCGGCCGGGAGCTGCACGGGCCGAGCCGGCCGCTGCCCTGCAGCCGCCGGGGTTTCCCGTCTCCGACCTCCAACGAGGCCCCTGGGTTCAGGAAACCGGGGGAGGGGGGGGACGCTGCGGGGGAGGGGCGGCCTCGGAACGAGCCCGCCGCCGCGATCGGGGTGGTGGGGTGCGCTGGGGCGTCGCCCGCCCGTCGAAGCGCGCGAACCTGCAAATGGTTGGAATCACGGGGCCATCCGGGGGTCGCCTTGGGTTCGAGACCGGCCTCGGGGCTCCTCCCAGGGCGCCTACAAGGCCTGAGGTTCTGTGGACCCCCCCCCCCCCCACTGGGTCTCCACCTTTACCCCACCCCACCCCAACCGGGGACTCTCCTCTTAAAGAGTTTTTCTCACCATCACCCCCTTCTCTCCTTCTCTTGAAAGGTTTCTTCTAGTGTAAAGTTGAAGAAAAAGACATTAAAAAAGAAAAAGAAAAACAAAACAGAAACTTGAGGCTCACACGCTTTTGTGATTGAAATCTGGTCCGTCCTGCCTGGGCCGTTTTTTGGCTTTTCTTTCTTTCTTGCTTGCTTTCTGAATTTTCTTTCTCGTTTGATGTGGCGGCTTGGATTTGAGAATACATCCTGGGCCCCGGGCCCGTCCAGCTGCGTCCAGCTGTGCTGTTTGCATGCTGGTTTGTGTCTGAGGACGTGACTGGGCTGGGTAAGCAAAAGTCTGCAATTCTGATTACAGATCGAAATGGGAAACAGCCACAGTCTCTTCCTCCCAGACCTCCCGTTCCCACCCACACCCCCCGCCTTTTTTTTTTTTTTTAATCCTTTTTGTAATGTTTAGTCAAGACTCATATTTCCAACAACTTGCCCTTGACGTCTCTTAACACCAAAAGTCATCTGGTAATGTGTGCGGGCAGTAAAACTTATCCCAGGAGGTTATACTTAAAACAGGAAATCAGAAAATCAGCCTGTGGTGATTTAAATGGGTTTGGTGAAGACTCCTTTTGGTCTGTGATGTTTTTTTCTGCAACTCATATTTCTTTTTCTGAGAACCCTTCAGATTTGCTTTTTTAAAATTTTTTGGGGGAGGGCAGATTAAATGAATTAATTGGCCTGTCAGAACTAAAATTTAGAAAATTAAGTGTACCCAGGCTCATTTACTCTTCCCTATTCTTTCTAAATTCTCTTAATCCTATACTTCTTCATAAGAACACACACACAGTTATTAAGATATTAGAAGCAGCCCTCTAAGATATTTCTTCTAAAGAAATGAAAAGAATTAAACTGTGAGTTGCATTATATTCTAGCCCTTGTAGCTTCTAGGGTGTGTGTGTGTGTGTGTTTGCATACAGGTGCACACAGCTGCTAGTACTGTGATTTGAACTCAGAACCTCTTGGTTTCCCCTTGGCTTTATTTTATTTATTTATTGTTAGTGGGACTTAAACTCTGAGTGCTGCTCCTGAGTCCTGGTAGTGGGACTTAAATCCTAGATGCTGCTCCTGAGCATTTTTTTTTTTTTGGTCCGGTCATGGGGCCTGAACTCTGGGCCTGGGCACTGTCCCTCAGCTCTTCAGCTCAAGGCTAGTGCTCTACCACTTGAGCCACAGCGCCACTTCCGGCTTTTTTCTTTTTTTGCTTATGTGGTGCTGAGGAATCGAACTCAGGACCTTGAGCATGCAAGGCAAGCGCTCTACCACTGAGCCACCTTCCCAGCCCCTGCTCCTGAGCATTTTTGCTCAGGGCTAGCTAGTGCTTTCCCACTTTGAGCCACGCTCCACTTCTGGTTTTTGTTTTTTTGTTTTTTTTAATCTTATTGTCAAGGTGATGTACAGAGGGGTTACAGTTACATAGGTAAGATAGTGAGTACACTTCTTGTCAAATTTGTTACCCCCTCCCTGATTTTTCTCCCTCTTTCCTCCCTCCTCACTTCTGGTTTTTAGGTGGTTAATCAGAGTTACGGGTCTCACAGCCTTTACTGTCCTAGGTTGATAGGAGCAGTGATCCTTAGATCTCAGCTTCTTGAGTAGGTAGGATTATAGGGATGAGCCACTGGCACCTGGCTTGCTTGGCTTTTTGCTTAAGAACTCTTGTCACTTGAGACAGCTTCACTCTGACTTTTTTTTGGTAGTTGGTTGAAAATAAGAGTCGTGGACTTGGGGCTGGGAAGGTGGCTCAGTGGTAGAGTGCTTGCCTTGCATGTATGAGGCCCTGGGTTTGATTCCTCAGCACCACATGAGCAGAAAAACCTAGAAGTGGTGCTGTGGCTCCAGTGGTAGAGTGCTAGCCTTGAGCTGAAGAGCTGAGGGACAGCGCCCAGGCCCAGAGTTCAGGCCCCATGACTGGCAAAAAAAAAAAAAAAGAGTCGTGGACTTTACTACCTGGGCTGGCTTCTATCAGGATCCTCTGATCCTAGCATCCTGAGTAGCTTGGATTACAGGTGTGAGCCACCAGCAACCTGGCTTCTTTTACCTGTCTTTAAAATATATACACATAGCAGGGTGCCGGTGGCTTACGCCTGTAATCCTAGCTACTCAGTAGGCTGAGATCTGAGGATCATGGTTCAAAGCTAGCCTGGGCAGAAAAGTCTGTGAGACTCTGATCTCCAATAAACCACTAGAAAACCGGAAGTGGTGCTGTGGTTCAAGAGGTAGAGCGCTTGCCTTGAACTGAAGAGGGCAGGGACAGTGTCCAGGCCCAGAGTTCAAGCCCCACGACCAACAATTAAAAACACACACACACACACACACACACACACACACACACACACACACACACACACACACACACACACACACACACACACACACACACACACACACACACACACACACACACACACACACACCCGGGCGCTGGTGGCTCACACCTGTAATCCTGGCTACTCAGGAGGCTGAGATATGAGGATCATGGTTCAAAGCCAGCCCAGGCAGGAAAGTCTGTGAGACTTTTTTTTTGGGTCCGGTCGTGGGGCCTGAACTCTGGGCCTGGGCGCTGTCCCTCAGCTCTTCAGCTCAAGGCTAGCGCTCTACCACTTGAGCCACAGCACCACTTCCGGCTTTTTTCTTTTTGCTTATGTGGTGCTGAGGAATCGAACCCAGGGCCTTATGCATGCAAGGCAAGCGCTCTACCACTGAGCCATCTTCCCAGCCCAAGTCTGTGAGACTTTTATCTCCAATTAACCACCAGAAAACCAGAAGTGGCACTGTGTCTCAAGTGGTAGAGTGCTAGCCTTGAGCTGAAGAGCTTAGGGATAGTACAGGCCCAAAGTTCAAGCCCTATGACTGACAATAAAATAAATAAATAAGTAAAATATATACACAAAATTTTGTTATTAGTAAAGTGTTTTACAGAGGGGTTACCATTTCATAAGCCAGATAACAAATACATTTATTTTGAGACAGTGTCACCCCTTCCTTTGTTTTTCCCCAGTTTTCCCCTCCTGTCCCTGGTTCACAAGTTGAATAGTTTATTTTTCACATAGTGTCTACTGAGTATCAAGCCTGCATTTGTTTTTCCTTCCTCCCACCTTACATTGTTGCTTTTACAGCTGTCAGGATTTCTAGTTCATCTTAAAAATGAGTATGATGGCCAGATAACCTAACGATTATCTAGCTGCCTTAGATTTTTTTTTTCCGGCTAGGCAAGTACTCAGCTACATCTTCTAGCCCGCCTCCCCCCACCCCCCCTTCATTCTTTCCTTCCTCCCTTAAAAAAAAAATACCTGTGTATTTAAATTCATTTCTTTAGCAATATATATCATCCAAACCCTGTGCTAGGCATGAATGAACAAAAATATGTTCTTCAGGATGCTACTGGACCTATTACTTAATTTTCTTTAATCTTTTATGTTAGACCATTGGAGCACGTTACTCTATAATTAGTCACTTCACCTGAAGTTAATTCAAACTCAAATGGGATTAGGTCAAATCCAGGTACAATTATTGTTTTTATTGTAATCAAGAACTTTTTTTTTTCAGGCTAGCTTAATAGTAGCTCAGTAGTAGAGTACTTGCTTAGCATGAGCCAGGCTCAGGTTCCAGCCTCAGAGCACAAAATAACATCAAAAAATAAGATTATTTAGCCCGGTCCTGGTGGCTCACTCCTGTAATCCTAGCTATTCAGGTTGCTGAGATCTGAGGATTGAGGTTCAAAGCTAGCTCAAGCAGTATTCTTTCTCTCTCTCTCTCTCTCTCTCTCTCTCTCTCTTTCTTGTCGGTCATGGGGCCTGAACTCTGGGTTTGGGCACTGTCCCAAACTCTTCAGCTCAAGGTGAGCACTCTACCACTTGAGCCACAGTGCCACTTCCAGTTTTCTAGTGGTTTATTGGAGATAAGAGTCTCACGGACTTTCCCTGCCTGGGCTGGCTTTGACCCTCGATCCTCAGATCTCAGCCTCTTCAGTAGTTAGGATTACAGGTGTGAGCCACCAGCGCCCAGCTTAGGCAGTACTCTTATCTCCAGTAAACCACCAGAAAACTGGAAGTGGCGCTGTGGCTCACGTGGTAGAGCGCTAGCCTTGAGCTGAAGAGCTGAGGGACAGTGCCCAGGCCCCAGAGTTCAAGCCCTACAACCAACATCCCCCCCTGCCAGAAAAAAAAAAAAAGATTTTTTTTCAATTCTCAGCTACTACCTTACTTAAATAAGACCATAGATTCAGTATAACAGAAATAACTCAGTATATTCATTGTAACCTGAATGATTGTACTTTTTAAACTTAGCATCATATTATATATTAAGAGTAGGGAGATTATTTTGCCATATTTTTAAGGTGTTTGCTACTTATTTATTGGCAATTTTAGGGTTTTGAACTCAGTACCTTCTGTTTGCTAGACAGGTGCTCTACCACTTGAACCACCCTTTTCACTTCAGTTATTTTTCCCTATTTGGATCTCTCTCTCTCTTTTTTTTGGCCCAGGGCTAACCTTGAACTGTGATCACTTCCTGAGAAGCTGAGATTAAGGGGCTGCAAGCTATCTTACTTCACCCATAAGGTATGTGTAATGTTAAAGGTTGGTGCTCATAATGTGATACTAGTTAAGTACCCATGACTTTTACAATTCTCAGTTTCTCAAAATCTGTTTCAGCATGAACAGTTGCCTTCATAAAGTTTTGGGGATTTTTTGTTTTTTGTTTTGATCATCTCAAGCCAGGGTGCTGTCCCTGAGCTTTTGTGCTCTACCACTTTGAGCCAAAATGCCACTTCTAGTTTTCTGGTTGTAAATTGGAGTTAAGAGTTCTTTTTTTTTTTTTTTGGGGGGGGGGGGTCCAGTCGTGGGGCCTGAACTCTGGGCCTGGGTACTGTCCCTCAGCTCTTCAGCTCAAGGCTAGCGCTCTACCACTTGAGCCACAGCACCACTTCCGGCTTTTTTCTTTTTGCTTAGGTGGTGCTGAGGAATGGAACCCAGGGCCTCATGCATGCAAGGCAAGCAAGCACTCTACCACTGAACCAACTTCCCAGCCCGAGTTAAGAGTTCTTATAGGCTTTCTCCCCTGAGCTGCGTTTGAACCATGGTCCTCAGATCTCAGCCTCCTGAATAGCTAGGATTACAGGCATGAACCATTGGCACCCAGCAAAGTTTTTCTGTGTGTGTGTGTGTGTGTGTGTGTGTGTGTGTGTGTGTGTTCATTCGTTCCAGTACTAGTGCTTGAGCTCAGAGCCTTGTGCTTCTGCTTGGCTCTTTCACCCAAAGATAGTGCTCTGCCATTTTAGCCACAGCTCTACTTCTGGCTTTTTGGTGGTAATTGGAGATAAGGGTCTCATGGACTTTTCTGCCTGGGCTGGCTTTGAACCATGATCCTCAGATCAGCCTCCTGAGTAGCTAGGATGACAGTTCTGAGTCACTACTGTTGGCATATGAGCTTTCTCTTAGTTGAGGAGGGCATTATTCTGTAGTTGTAATTGTAACCTGAACACTGTCAGGCCTGGTCTCATTGGTCTTCTTGCTGACCTTTGATTTATATAGTGTATTAGTCCTGTGTCAGATCCTTTCTAAAATTACAAGTATAACATCCTGTTGATAGAAAAGTGGTATAGAAACCAAAATCCTGTTGAATTCATACCAGTCCATTAGTCTGTTAGGCATATATTAAAATTGTAAAGAGTCAAATCCAATTTGCTGCCTAGGAAAAATGAAGTTTATGAACCTCTGTTTATCTCTGTCTGGCATCCATGAAGGTTTTTTTAAAAAGTATTTTTACAGTAATGAAGCAATAGAAGTATATAATTGAGAGCACATGTGTGATCTTGGAGAGTTTCACTTGAAGCAAAATCATTAAGCCTGTTTGGAAGTGGAATGCTACTCTGCCCATCTTAGCATGTCTTCCTCTTTGCCTCCTTCCTTCTTTCCCTCCCTCTCTCCTTTTCTCTCCCTCCTTTTCTTTCTTTCTTTCTTTTTTTTTTTTTTTGCCAGTCCTAGGGCTTGAACTCAGGGCCTGGGTACTGTCCCTGAGCTTTTTTTGCTCAAGGCTAGTACTCTACCCCTTGAGTCACAGCGCCACTTCTGGCTTTTTCTGTTTCTACAGTACTGAGGAATCAAACTCAGAGCTTCATGCATGCTAGGCATGCGAGGCAAACGCTCTACCACTAAGCCACATTCCCAGCCCCTCTCCCTCTTTTTCTCCCTTTAGCCTTCTCCTTCCCTCTGGAAGTCTCAGGGTCAACTAATGTTGGGACTCTATAGGAGGAGCATCTTGGACTACAGATGCATGCTAACGGCCCAGTCTTTTTATTCAATCATATTAGAGTGTTACCAGAATGTTTAGGGCAGCTAAACAAGCAAGCTCAGCCCTTGGGTCTGGGAAGAGAAGAATTCAGAGAAGATGTGATCATAATAAAGACGTTAGAAAAAGTTCATTAGAAATATAGCAGGTTGGGCTAGGAATGTGGTTTTGGTAGAGTGCTTGCCTAGCATGTATGAAACCCTGGGTTCGATTACTTAGTTGCACATAAACAGAAAAAGCCAGAAGTGGCACTGTGGTTCAAGTGGTAGAATGCCAGCCTTGAGCAAAAGCAGCTCAGGGACAGGGCCCAGACCCTGAGTTGAAGCCCCAGGACTGGCAAAAAAACCAACCATTAAAAGAAATACAGCATGTAACATAGACAGGTCATTTGGAAGATGGCTGCGTAGCCAATGTCTGTCATATTGGCTCTCTTCCACTGTCTTCCTTGTTACAGAGGTTGGCCTCGGGTTAGTGAGAATTGGATGGCTTTCTGATTGTGAGTCTCCTTTCTTCTTCCTGTAAGATTGTGACACCAATGATGTACTGTCCTGAACTAATTTCCTCTTTTATTCTTCCTCATTCTTTTGTAGCCCCTGCCCCTATTTCAGGTTTTGGTATATCAGTTTATCAGTTTATCTTGCTGCCTGCAAACTGCATAGGTAGATCTGATTTTCCCTGATTGGTAGCTTTTCTACTAACTAGTATCAAGAAGCTGTCTAGTGGTTCTTCATTATGGTTATAATTTCTATTTTCCTGATAAGAATACTGAGCTGGGTGCTGGTGGCTCACACCTTCAATCCTAGCTACTCAGGAGGTTGAGATCTGATGATCACGGTTCAAAGCCAGCCCGGGCAGGAAAGTCTGTGAGACTCTTATCTCCAGTAAATCACTCAGAAAACCGCAAGTGGAGCTGTAGCTCAAGTGGTAGAGCATTTGCCTTGAGCTGAAGAGTGCAGAGACAGTGCCCATGTCAGAGTTCAAGCCCCACAACCGACAAAAAAAAAAAAAAAAGAGAGAATGTTGAGTGTTTTATCATGTGCTAATTGACGATACATTTTTTTTTTTCTTTTTTTGGGTCCGGTCGTGGGGCCTGAACTCTGGGCCTGGGCGCTGTCCCTTAGCTCTTCAGCTCAAGGCTAGCGCTCTACCACTTGAGCCACAGCACCACTTCTGGCTTTTTTCTTTTTGCTTATGTGGTGCTGAGGAATCGAACCCAGGGCCTCAGGCATGCAAGGCAAGCGCTCTGCCACTGAGCCACCTTCCCAGCCCCTATACAGTTTTTTTGTTTTGTTTTGTTTTTGTTTTTTTTTTGTCAGTCATGGAGCCTGAACTCTAGGCCTTGGTGCTGTCCCTCAGCTCTTCAGCTCAAGGCTAGCACTCTACCACTTGAGCCACAAAGCCATTTCCAGCTTTTTCTGCTTATGTGATGCTGAGGAATTGAACCCAGGGCCTCATGCATGAGAGGCAAGCACTCTACCTCTGAGCCACCTTCCCAGCCCCTATACAGTATTTTCTTTTGCTGTGTGTTTGTCCAAATCTTTTGCCTTCTTTTTTCCATGGAGTCATTCTTTTGTGTGTGTGCATGTGTGTACCAACCTTGGGGCTTAAGCTGAGGGCCTGGGCACTATTCCTGAGCTCTTTTTGCGCAAGGCAAACACTGTACAACTTGAGCCACAGCTCCACTTCTGGCTTTTTTTTTTTGCTCAAGCTCTGCTTGTGGCTTTCTTTGCTTAGGCTGGCACTCTACCAGTTTAGCCACACCCTCTTCTTGTAGCTTTTTGGTGGTGAATTGGAGATAAGAGTTTCACAGACTTTTCCTGCCCAGGCTCAAACCACCATCCTCAGATCTCAGCTACCATCATATTGTCAACTTCTTCTTTTTTCTTTTTTTTGGGTCTGGTCGTGGGGCCTGAACTCAGCCTGGGTGCTGTCCTTCAGCTCTTCAGCTCAAGGCTAGCGCTCTACCACTTGAGCCACAGCACCACTTTTGGCTTTTTTCTTTTTGCTTATGTGGTGCTGAGGAATCGAACCCAGGGCCTCATGCATGCAAGGCAAGCACTTACCACTGAGCCACATTCCTAGCCCTGTCAACTTCTTAAGAACAGACCCAGGATCCTAAAAGAACACTTATGTGCATATCTTCCTGATTGCCATTAAAGTAAGATTGATCCTGAGCATACTGTCAGGTGTTGTCTGATAGAAGAAAGCTAATTATAAATTTGCATTTGAAATAGCTTTTCTGCAGCTGAGTTAATAGAGTTAATTTAGCTGCCTTTGCACCTTGTCTTATAATTAAGACAGATTTGGAGGAGTAAATCCAAAGAGCCTCTGTCCACTGAAGCCTCTACTAGAGCAAGCTTAGGACTTGTTTATTAGCCTGGTTGGAATAGATGTAAACACATGAAACATGTTTTTTTCCTTGTTTTATGCCAGTACTGAGTTTGAATTCAGGGTTTGGGTGTTGTCCCTTAGCTTTTTCTACTCAAGACTAACACTCTACCAACTTTAGCCACAGCTCCACTTTTGACTTTTTGGTGATTAATTGGAGATGGGTCTTATAGACTTTTCTGCCCATGCTGGCTTTGAACCACAATTCTCAGATCTTGGCTTCCTAAGTAGTTAGGATTATAAGTGTGAGCCACTTGTACTTGGCTTGTGTTTTAGTTTCTATATTTTTATCCTGTCCATTCCAAGCCTTTGGGACCTTCAGTTCCTGAATACGTTTTAGAATAATTTCTAAGGAGATAGGGTTGTTGTCTTTTTCTTCTATGTCTTATTTACTAAAAACACAACAAAATACTATTTTTAGAAGGATGTCACCCCAATATCATTACTCTAATGTAATTATTTTCATTTGTCTCATTCCCTTCCAGCCTTATTCACTCACATACATACTTTGATATGATTGTGATATATACTTTGATATGATTGTGATCATAGCGGTATATTATTTTTTGTTCAGAAACTGAGTAGTAACTAGTGACTGCTTTCTCCTTTATGGGAACCACCCTTCTTAATAATTAACACAAAAAAGACTGGATGGAGAAAAAAGATTAACAGATTTGGTGAGGGGGTGGGAGGAATCCTGACTCCCACCATTTAACTCAAATAAAAGCAGAAATGAACCAAGTTTTTCAAAGACAAGGTTACCCTTCTGTGGAAAATGCCAGACAACTTTGATTTTCTTATTCATTTTTCATGTATCTTCTCTCTAATAGTTTAACAACTTCATTAATCTTTGTATGCTATACATTTCATCCATTTAGACTTT